GCCTCGTTAATCAGGCCCTAATCCACCAGGAGGCCTGGTCATGGACCGGGCCGCGGGGGCGTTGATCCCCGGAATACCCTACATATAAATTCCAGGTAGGCAGGTACTACCACCACTACTACTACTACTACTACTACTACTACTACTAATAATAATAATAATAATAATAATAATAATAATAATAATATTAACAGTACCACTACTAATAATAAAATATTTAAGTTGGTCATTCTATAACTAGGAAAGGTATTTCTGGTCTCGAAATTGTCCCTCTTCAAGGACTTCTCTCTTATATATATAAAAAAAAACATATTCTTTGAAAAACTTGCCCCTTCCTGGCAAGCCTCTTAGGCAGGAAGGTTGATAGGACGGAGAAAGAATGGGAGGGAGGAGAGGAGAGGGAGGGAGGGAAGGAAGAGAGGGAGGAGGGTAAAGTGGGAGGAGGGTAAAGTGGGAGGAAGGAAGGTAGGTGGAAAAAACACTTGTGTACACTTCAGAACATTTATTAAAGAAAACGTTTTGCCAGGAGTGACTTCGTCAGCCCTGATACAGAACGCACTGAGAGAATGATAGTGTCGGGAGTCATATGGCACGCAGTGGTGGTAGTAGTAGTAGTAGCAGTATAGTAGTAGTATAGTATAGTAGTAGTAGTAGTAGTAGGTCCAGGTCTCCAGGTAGGGCTATTATTGGTGAGAGGGGTTGAGTTTGAGAAGGACCTGCCATCATGGGCCAGCAGGTGTGCTCCAGTGCTCGTCCATACTACGCATCTTAACATTAATGGTCTACGATACCGACAGCTTGATGAATAAGACGCATGTGCAATACTTGGGCATCTATATACATGAAGATACCCAGGTGCTTCACATATGTCTTCAATGGGTATCATGTGACAGCCGTCTACTACATGGGCAAGTACCTGTGTGCCAAGAGTCTGGATATTCTGAAGCTGCCGGACTGATGAGGAACAGTGTCACTGACAACAGTAAAAGATTAAGAAACATGTGCAGCAGTTGGGTATCTTTACTGATGAAACGTTTCGCCTACACAGTAGACTTCTTCAGTCACATACAAGAAGAACGGTAGAAATGAAATAAAAATGATACAATCAATCCATCATCCTCGGAGAAGATACCCAACTGTTCCACACGTGTCTTAATCTTCAATTTGTCACTATACCATTTTCAACACTGACAGCAGTGAAGGCGGCAACCATACACTCCCGTGTGTGTAAATCGTTTTTCACAAATGATTAACTGGGATCATCCCACTTGATAAGGTGTCCGACATCGTCTCTGTGTTGGATACCAGTGTTGTTACGGTCGTCACGACTGGAGGCCTACTTATACTTAAGACATATGCCTTACTTTCCCCCCTCAAGACTGATGAACTGATCACATCGACTCCAGGTTGAGGGACTGATTACCTCAAACTTCTCATCTTCCACCATTCTTCTCTGTATTGGACTGAAGAAGCTACTGGCTGGCGAAACACTTCCGCAATAAATATTTGCTTTTCGTATTATATACCGTTATTTTATTGAAGGGATGATGACCGAAACTCATGTGCAACATCTGAGTACCTTTATTGTGGAAACTATTCGATACAGAAAAGAACAGTGGAAGATGAGGAGTTTGAGGTAATCAGTCCCTCAGCCAAGATATCCAAATGTTGCACAAGTACCTTATTCATCAACTTGTCGCTTTTCTAAGTTGAGTAAATTTTTATTCTGTAGACGTTTCGCCAACCAGCGGCTTTGTCAATACAGGGATGCAAGACAAGCCACGGGGGGGGGGGGGAATCTTAAGCTCAAGTACTTTCACACTTCTTAGTGCATCATCAAGAGCTATGCAATGTTGCAAGACAGCAACCGAAGGAGGGAAAGTTTTTCTCAGAGTAGCGCAGATTTCCACCCCCCGTGGCTTGCTTGCATAGTTAAGATCGTCTGTCTGCGATTGTTTGCACAATATGGGGTTATAAACTGATGACTGAGGAAGCTGAGGTAATCAGTCCCTCAGCCTAAGAATAGGTGATAAGCATCATAGCATTGTTGAATCTAGAGTAGAGGCAGGATGATTTAATGCCCTTGATGAGTTCCGAGAGTTTTTCTACTTCCTGGTCCTGGTCTTGAGCCAGGCTCGTCTGGTGCTTGCCTGGTCAACCAGGCTATTGCCTCTGGTGGCGGCCCGCTGACCCACATATCCATCACAGCCTGGTTGATCTGGCATCTAGTGAAGATACTTGTCCAGTTTCTCTTGATGATTTCTACACTTATCCCAGCAATGTTTATGATATCTGGAGTCAGTTGAGGTGCAACAGATGAAGACATTATCTCTGGTAGGTGGGAACCACCAGTGGAAGAGTTGGACCAGAGGTTAGGAAGCAGGACGTGGTGATGTTCGCTGTACCAAGATTCCATGATACTACTCTCTTACAAATAGTATACAATACAATATAAATAGTATAATAGTATAACCTAGATGGATGAATCGTACTGTAGCCAGCTGGTCCAGTGGCTTACACGATGATCTGGAGTTTTACAATTCACTCACTATGGGTTTTAACCCCCACCCGTTCCGTGGTTTGTTTACAATCGTGTTACAATTTCGTGAGTAAAGATACACTTAAGAGATCCCGGTGTTTTCCTTCGAATTTCTCCTCTGGTGGCCTGGTGGTTAACGCTCTCGCTTCACACGGTGAGGGCCTGGGTTCGATTCCCAGCCAGAGTAGAAACATTGGACGTGTTTGTTTCCACCTGTTGTCTATGTTCCCCATCAGTAAAATGGGTACCTGGGTGTTAGTCGACTGGTGTGGGTCGCATCCTGGGACACTGACCTAAGGAGGCCTGGTCACAGACCGGGCCGCGGGGGCGTTGACCCCCGGAACTCTCTCCAGGTAAACTCTCCAGGTAAAACCCACAACGCCGCCCCTGGAATGGTTTATACTCTTGCTCTAGTGATAAAGTCACTCTTAATGGAAACTGAAATAGTTACCAACAGATCGACTTCCATTTCTTTAAGTGTTGTCAAGAGAAGAGTACATCAGTGTTTGCCAGACAACTGATAGACTTCTGGGCTGATTTGTCAAGAAGAGCCTCGCTTGAAGAGACATGACACGATGAAACCAGAGACAGTTATAGTGTAATGAGATCCTTCACTGACGACGTTTCGCCTAAGCAGTGGCTTTTTTCAAGTGACGTAAAAACTTGACTTGAAAAAGCCACACTGCATCTGTGTCTAATTCCAAGTAAGCAAGACAGAAGTGGAGTTCATTTTGCACAACATTTTGGCCATATGCAAAAATAAATTTATATCGTTTTCTTTTCCATGTAGTAAGGTATATAAATAAAAAAAAATATTACTGGGCAGGTGCACATCCTTGTGGCACCTCATTCTTGTCATTTATTAACATAGGAATAGACTGGGATACTGTTGTACATTAACATCTCCATTCAAAGCAGGTAAAATCGCAGATCTAGAGAGTGTACAGAGATCCTTTACTGCACGTATAAGTTCTGTCAAGCACCTTAACTACTGGGAACGCTTGGAAGCACTTGACTTGTACTCGTTGGAACGCAGGAGGGAGAGATATATCATAATCTACACTTGGAAAATCCTGGAAGGAATGGTCCCAAATCTGCACACAGAAATCACTCCCTACGAAAGTAAAAGACTGGGCAGGCGATGCAAAATGCCCCAATTAAAAGTAGGGGCGCCATTGGTACACTAAGGGAAAACACCATAAGTGTCCGGGGCCCAAGACTGTTCAACAGCCTCCCATCAAGCATTAGGGGAATGCCAATAAGCCCCTGGCTGCCTTCAAGAGAGAGCTGGACAGATACTCTAAAGTCAGTGCCGGATCAGCCGGGCTGTGGCTCGTACGTTGACTGCGTGCGGCCAGCAGTAACAGCCTAGTTGATCAGGCTCTGATCCATCGGGAGGCCTGATCATGGACCGGGCCGCGGGGGCGTTGATCCCCGGAATAACCTCCAGGTAACCTCCAGGTAATGAAAGTAAACGTTGAATTCTGAACGTGTATCCCGTTGCTTGCGCCGATCAGTTTACATATTTATTCTGAGGTCATGACCAACCATACAACATGTATTGATCTTTGTCAGCTGGACGAAAGGAAATCAGTGCCATCTAGTGGTAATATACAGCCCTAGATCGTCTGGTGATCATCAGGTGTGTTGTGGCGTTTTGCAGTCGCTGGAAGAAGTGAAAAGAAGCAGCAGCTGAAGAAGTGGTCATATGTGGGAGGGGCCCACTAGCGGACGTAGGTCAGGCCCCTACGGTGGGCCATAGATATGACAATTTCAACTGCGGCATCTCTCCATATCTACAAATAAATTTGCTAAATCTATGGGCTATCTTATGAGCCGGATTTTCTTCAAGTAGTGGGCCCCGCCCGCATTTGGCCATGTCTTCAACTGCTATATCTTTCTCCACTTGCCCTGTATTAGACTGATGACTGATAAAGCCTGCTACGCTGGCGAAAATTGTTCATCAACTTGTTGGCATTATGTACTTTCTATCTCTTGGCACAAGAACCGGAGTTTGTGAAATGTATCTCTTGGTACGAAATTGAGCTGCTTAACACACGTCCTCACAAGAGAAATGGAATAAAATACCAGCAAGTTGATGAATAATATACATTATCAACGCTTAAGTATCATCAATAGAGATACATAAGTGTCGCACATGTGTCTTGTTCACCAACACTTCCTCCCGTGTACGACGTTTTCCTCTCCACTGCTTCTGCTGACTCCAGTTTTAGCGGTCTTTGCATTTGACTGCAGAAATCTACCTTGTAGGCGAAACGCTTCGGAAATAGACGTACCAAAGTGTTACAAGTGTGTTTTATTCATCAATGTGTTGGTACTGTATACCATTATGATACCTACACACACACACACACACACACACACACACACACACACACACACACACACACACACACACACACACACACACACACACACACACACACACACACACACTCACCTGAAAGCACTAGGCAAGGTCTTGTTGGAACGCCAGTGTGGAGGCAGAACCGAACAAACAACGTTGGGCGCCCCAGTTCGAATCAAGTCACCAGCTGGCTCGCCACCCATGCCGCCCATGAGCTCCGCCCACGCCCGCTCGCCCACCCCGAAGCCGCCCACGTTCATGAAGTCACTCACAGTCAAGTCTGGGAACATGACTCGAGGGATGATTGAACACCAGATGAACGCGGAACAGAGGGAGAGGGAGAGGAGGGGAGGAAGGGGAGAAGAGAGAGGTGGATAACGAAGGCTTAAACGAAGAGAGGAAAGATGGATAACTAAAATTTGAATGAAGAGGAAAGATGGATAACTAAAATTTGAATGAAGAGGAAAGATGGATAACTAAAATTTGAATGAAGAGGAAAGATGGATAACAAAAACTCAAAGAGAAAAGAAGAGAAAGAGACTGAAAAGGAAAATTTTGATAAAGAATAGAGGAAAAATTGAGGAAGAGTAGTGGAAAAGATGGAAAATGAAAACTTGAATGATACAGAAAAGTAAAAAGGAAGAATTGAAGGGATGAACGAAGTGGGAGAGGAGAAAGGAAGGGAATGAGATGGACAAGTAAAAGTTAGAGGACAGGAGAAGGGAAACAGGGACAGCAGGATGAGGAAGAGAAGCGAAGATCTAGTACAAGAAGGGAAAGAGAAAAGAATGTGGAATTGAGAAAGTGAAAGAAAATTGGGGAAAACGAATAGACAGAAGAAGGGAACAAGTGATAAAGATGGTAGATGAAGAGGAGATGAAGACTGAAGAAATGGAGGAAATAGGGAGAGAGAGAGAGAGAGAGAGAGAGAGAGAGAGAGAGAGAGATACGAGGGGGATGAAGGGAAGTGTGATGGAGGGAGGGAGGGGGGGGGTGGATGGGGGTCCACCCAGCTGGTGTCTTCACCTCGGTGATGCTTGGTATGTCTTCTCTCGATTGTGTGTAGTTTTCTTCATTAAATTTCTTTCACAGTTTATTTTCTTGATTCCTCTCTGCTCTACTGCCGGTTTTCTTCCCCCCTCCCCACTTTTTTACATCTCTAAGGCTGTTATTTTTTTTTTGTTTTTGCAATTTTCTTAGTTCTGTCTTACGTTCTGATTGTTTCTCCTTGCTTCAATTTTTTTTCTTTCCACAAGACACACCATTAAATGTGTCTTGGCTGTCAGCTGCATTAATTCCCCCGTTGCAGCGATACCTCAAGATAATTTTCTTGACCCCGAGATCATCCCAGAAGTTGTTTTAACCACCTGCTTTAAACTCATGATTATCGTCCCTCACACACAAGACGCGGCGGCTTCTGCTGTCAATTCTTACGACCTTGTTGACTTTGTTATCATTAAGACAAGTTATCTTATTACTAGAACGAAGGTTAGTTCTTGTTATCGGCCATTCTTGCCACAACTCATGGGTAAGCGCTAATCACTTAGGGGACACATAGCTCGTGTGTGTGTGTAGGGAGGGAGGGGGTAGACGGGAGACAATCTGGTTTGATTCACGTTTTGTTTACGTCTGGGACTTTCTGAGGTCCCGTTATGTCAAAGTCTTCAAATAAAAAACTTTTCGTTTTTTGGGGAACTTTTTTTCCTTAGAAATTGTTAGAAAGTTTACATTACTAACGTCGTAAGTTTTTTTTTTTTTGTTAACTACGAATGGGTTAACAAACAATTAGTATTTCTCGTGTTTGTGTTATTTTCCGGAGGTAAAAATATATTACACCAGCACGCTCGCCAGCTGATCGAACGTCAACAAGTTGCGATGACGTCACCGCCACCAGCTGGTCTCCCGCGATACACACAAACAAGCACACACACACAATGCTCGAAATCACGGCCGCAAACACTTCCCACCTGCGGCTGCGGGTGACTGAGGTGGCCGCCTTGTGGCCATGCGGTCTCCCACTCCAGACCAAACCACGCCCCCTCTGACCCTGGCTCCTCCCTCCCACGCACAACCAACTCAACACAAAACATTAAATATTTGTTCACTTAAATCTCCCATTACTCAGTCATAACACTCCACAAATCAATCACAAAATCTTACCCTCATAAACATCAAACAATAAAAATGTCGAGAAGCTCTATAAGTAGACTAGAAAATAAAGAAGCAAATACGAGAGAAGAGACAACACAACAAAAACTGACCAATAAACAAACAGTGTGGTGCAGTAGCCCCGCCCACCTCCCCTCCGCTACCTCCCTCAGTACTCAGCTGGCCACGTGGCTGAGAGGGTTTGTTGTTGCTGCTGCTGTTGCTCCTCTTTCTAAGATTAGAAATGATATTTTGGTAGGTTTAAACCCGTAGGGTTCGTACACTGCTTGGGGAATGGGAGGCATGCGGGTTTGATCACAGGAGAGATTAGCTCCAGTGACTTGGAACAGGAGCCCTTCACGAGGATCAAAGCCCTCACCCATTCTCCTTTCATTAAGATAATAATCTCGAGAGAATGAGAGTAAAAGAAGTGGAGAGACTGAGATAGATATATAAATAGATGTATACATAAATAGAAAAGAAAGATGTATAGACAGATACACACGGGGACAGGAGCTGCGAATCAACCCCTGCAACCGCAATTAGGTAAGCACACATACACACACACACACACACACACACACACACACACACACACACACACACACACACACACACAGTGTTGCTCAAAAAAAAAGGGAAACTTTCACTGTCATTTGTTTTAGGATGATGCTGACTTCACAGATAAGATCCTCTGTGCCGCAGCATCCCTGCCCTCCCACCTCTAGGATTCAAGTCAGGCTAACTGATTTTTCAGCATCTCTTCACAAATGTCACTAATCTCAACCTATAACAGTCCTAGTTATGTGTTAAACGTGCATAGTGATGTCCCACACACATCCCTGGTGACATCACACATCCCTGTTTAAACTTTTTCTGGAAATGAGAACCTTCAAAACAATGGATCCAAAGCCAATGATGACTCCTTTGTAAGTCACTGGTTCTGTCTAGGTTGGAATACTGCTGTATACTAACAGTCCCTCGCAAGGCAGGCAAAACTGCAGATCTGCAGAATGCACAGAGTACCTTCACTGCACTTATAAATTCAGTCAATTATTATTATTATAATCAAAAAGAAGCGCTAAGCCACAAGGGCTATACAGCATAAATTCAGTCAAGCACCTCAATTACTGGGAACGTTTGAAGGCCCCAGACTGTACTCAGTGGAGCGCAGGCGAGAAAGGTATATCATAACTCAAACCTAGAAAATTCTAGAGGAAGTGGTTTCAAATTCGCACATATAAATAACTCTGAAAGCAAAAGACTCGGCAGTGTAACACCCTCCCCCCCCCCCAATGAAAAGCAGGAGTACCGTGGCTACACTGAAAGAAAACATAGTAATTGTCAGTGGCCCAAGGCTATTCAACAGCCTTCAATAATGCGTAAGGGATATTACCAATAGACACCTGGCTGTCTTCAAGAGAGAACTGGACAGATACCAAAAGTCAGCGCCTGACCAGCCAGGCTGTGGTTCGAACGTTGGATTGCGTGTGACCAGCAGTAACAGCCTAGTTGATCAGAAGCTGATCCACAGTGAGGCTTGGTTATGGACCGGGCCCCGGGGCCGTTGGCACCCTAGACTCCCTCCAGGTAGGCTCCTCTCTCCTACATTCTATAATCTGAGCCTCGCTATCATAAACACTCTCTACTGCTTCTAGCAACCACTACCTTTTCCATACATCTGCAACATCTGCCACATTGCTACCCTAACCACCTTATCATATGCCTTTCTAAATTCACAAATGCAATGAAAAGTTATTACCTTTATCTAACTATTGTTCACATGTATGCTTTAATGTATACACTTGGTGTATACATCTTCCATTCTTCCTAAATCCTCTTTGTCTTTGTGACAGTGGGCAAGGTTCCCGGTCACACTGCGCAGACACACACCCATGGCTATGGTGGTGGCGTCACAAGGACGAGAATATGTGTGCTATAATACCAAGGTGGCGTTGACAAAGAAAATACTCAGGACGTCTTAAACGTTCACACCTGTAAAAGGGCAGGAAGAAAACTTTTCTCCTTTCCTGTATATATTGAACAAATGCGCCAACCACTACACTATTTATGACCAAATGATCATTTATAAAAAGTGTGCTCTCTTATTTGTGCAAAAATTTTTTTTTGCAAGTATCTTAATGTCATATTGCTTATAGATGTTGATGGTAAAACTATGTGTATAATCAAAGCCTTAGGTTAGCAAGTTATCTTTTTCCTATAGGATTATACTACTGTATGGTGATATTACATACTGCTATGATTTATAAGTACATTATTCGATTTGTGTATCTTTATCCTGAACATTGTATAAAGTCATTTTCACATCTGTACAAAGAGGTTCGTGGTTGATAACACAACATGTCGACTTGAGATGAGGAGAGTCAAGCAGAAGGCTCTCTCCTCAACCTCCAGCCACACTGTCAGTCCGACGACGAGGTCATTACTCACTGCCAGTCAGAAAAAGTTAGTGAGGAGGATTACCATTACGTACTGAAAAATACTCATGACGATTTAATACAAAGTTAGAAGTATTTGTTGGAATTCTCTTCATAAAAATACTATTCCTACTACTGTTAATGCTGTCACTACTACTATTACTATCAGAATTAATACCTATATGCTATTACTATTGTTCCCTGAATAGTCGATGGTCAACCGGTCACTCTGGCTATGTAGGTCCGAGTGTTTTTCTCAAAGGCTCCTGGATGCCATAATATTTTTTATCACGGACCTCTGGAGGCTAGAGTCCATTCCTGAAGAACCTCTGGAGATCATACTACCTTTATCAAAGACCTCTGTAGGTCATACCTTTATCAAAGACCTCTGTAGGTCATACCTTTATCAAAGACCTCTGTAGGTCATACCTTTATCAAAGACCTCTGGAGGCCAGAGTCCCTTTGTGAAGGCCTCTGGAGGTCATATACTTATACTACATTACCTTATGAAAGGCCTCTGGAGGCCATACTACCTTTATGAAAGGCCTCTGGAGGTCATACTACCTTTATGAAAGGCCTCTGGAGGTCATACCAACCTTATCAAGGGCCTCTGGAGGCCAGAGTCTGAATTATTTATAAAAGTCTTTACTTCTTGTTTTGGTTGTTTTTAACCTTTGGTTGAAGGACACTTGGCCAGGGTCATCACAGCCTGGACAAACTCTCGGAATAAATCCTGAATTACAACCGTAGGCATCAAGGCTCCGTCATCTCCGAGGTCTTACATTGTTGCGGGGTTGTGGAGAAGAGGGACGCTTGCGGCTTCCCTTTGCTGGTGTCGTCATCAGAGGACGCCGGCGGCGGAAATAACTAACTAACAACAAACAAACACCCTCGTAACTCTTCCCTCGTAAACAAAATGGCGGCACTCGCGACCCATTTTTGGCTTTTCCCGCGATACTTTTTTTTTTTTTTAGAAATAAAGTCTCTCTCGCACGTTTGGCTCTCCCGCGTCCGAACTCACGTTTCCCTCCCAGTGACTGAGACTTCCAGAAAAATTCATACTTTCTCCTCCAACTCATCATTAAAAAGTATTGTGTTATAAAACGGTTGTCAACTGGCTTTCTTACGCTAACACTAAATGATAATAATTATTGCTAATGAAGCTCCTAGTGGGCGGAAGCCGGAGCCACAAACGAAGGCAGATATTCAAAATACCTCCAGTAAACAAGTGAAGATCGACGCTTGTTGATAACCCTTTGAGAAAATGGCGGCGTGCCCGATAACACCTCCCTCCTCCTCCTGCCTCTCATTCTCTTCCTTCCCGCTGCCAAGGAACT